ATGTAGTAGACAGAGAGAGACAGAAAGCAAGAAATCACCCCTCAGGGGGGATGGCCATACCACAATCCTTCTCCTTCAGTCTCTTCTCAGGTTCTGGGGCATGCATGCACACACACCCAGCGTGAGTTTGAAGCCACCGCACCCAGGACTTGAACCATGTGCAGTTGCCCATGTGGGCGTCTAGTGACAAAACCATGACATCATCTGCTGGTCCCTTAAGGTTGCTTTTTAATTAATAATAAATAGCCTGTGGAATTTTTCATAGTTTCTAATCTAAGTGGTAACAGAATTCAAGAAATTCAGCCTAGTAGAGACTCAGATGTAAAAAGAATAGTTTCGAATCATGCTGAGATGATCTTCTTTCTTGATTCTAGACTACATTTAGAAATAAGAGGCTTGGCTGAGTGCATATTCTAGATCACATTTAGAAATAAGGGGCTGGGGACCAGCAGTTAGTAATGGCTATGTAGCTGGACTACCATGTAGTTGACCGTGGTTCAAGTCCCGAACCCGGTGGCTTAAACTCATGCCAGGCGTGTGTGCGTGCGTGCCCAAGATCCCGAGAGGAGAATGGAGGAAAAGGGATTGCAGCATGGCCATCCCCCCTGGGGGGTGATTTCTCACTTTCTGTCTCTCTGTCTCTGTCTTTCTGGCAAGCGCATGCGCCCTATAGCAAAAACCTCTCCAAAGGAAAAAGAAAAAAAAAGAAATAAGGGGTTAGGCTGAATGCATCTGGTCACCAAGTGTTTCTGAAGAAGCCTGCTCCACTGCTGGTTTAAAGTACCTCTGGCAGTGCTGAATCAGTTGGGTACTCTTCTAGATGCTAAAAACTCTTTGAAATAAAATGACCCATTTGTAAGTTTAGAGAAATGAAGTTTTAAGATGCCTAGGCTTTCCCAGGAAGAGAAAAAATACATATCTTTGTTATATTAAAGCATCCAGTCATTCATTATATCATCCATTCATTATTAATTTTGTACATATTTCTGTGATATTACTATTAGTGAGCAGAATTATTTTTTTCTTTTTGACCAACAGTGGTTAGGTAAATACAATTTCATATATTAATAGTTCAACCTAATATAATTGGATTTGCAACTTTCTGAACTTCATGGAAGCTTTCGGGATAAAGATGACATGGAATCAGACCGTCTCCCAAACCCAGTACCCAAAATTGCCAGAATTGGATCTGTGAACATTTATCTCTTGGAATCTTAAACTATTCTAGCTGTTGATCAGCTTACTAAATCTTAAAGCCAATATAATTTTATAGAGATATATTTAAGGGACGTTGAAAAGGTCTTAGAAGTAAGATACACCATTTTAGTTACAAATGAAAATATTGTGAACGAAACAAAAACACTTAATGCAATTTGTCCTTAATGTACATGTTCCCATTTTTAGTGAAAAGAGATGCATGGATACTTTCAAGAAGCAGATGCCATAAACCCACAGCTCCATTTCAGCCAAGCGTTGGGGCAGGGCTCTGTAAATTAGTCATACAGTACCCTATGAGTTGAGAACAATGGAGAAATGTTCAAGAATGATTTAGAAATTCACCTTACCTATCTGATTTCTGCCTGAAGAGTAAAATGCATTGACTACCGCTGCTCCACTTATCCACCTATAGAAAACAGAGGGACTCGTTACAAATGGTGCTTCATTATCCAGCAGAATACATTCACCACAATAAAAGTATTATTTTTCGTAGAAAAATATTAAGCTTCTGTGTGAAATATGATCAACAAATGAAAATTGGTTCACTAGGTAAGAACTCATTTGAAAGTATTTCTTGAAAAATCAGCATATACCCAGGTCTGCCATCTGTGTTTTCTTTTTTTTTTAAAGGTTTTTTTATTTTTTTAATTTTTTTATTTTATTATTATTATTTTTTTGCTATAGGGCGTGTGCGCTCACCAGACAAAGAGAGACAGAAAGACAGAAAGCGAGAAATCACCCCCCAGGGGGGATGGCCATGCCACAATCACTTCAGAAAGCGAGAAATCACCCCCCACGGGGCATGGTCACGCTGCAATCCCTTCTCCTCCATTCTCCTCTTGGGATCTTGGGCACGCACCCACACGCGCCCGGTGTGAGTTTTAAGCCACCGGGTCCGGGACGCAAAAATAGCCATTATGCTAACTGCTGGTCCCCGCCATCTGTGTTTTCATTTGCATGCATTCCTATGGAAGGATCTGACAGTGCAAAACCTATTAATTCAGAAACTACAATGGATTAAGATTATATTGAAATGTATTTAGCTTTATGTTTCTGATACTATGTAACTATGCCATGGATTGTGGATCAGTGAACAGAATATTGACATACAGATTGTTAGAATTTCTGATTCATGTATATTTAAAAATTTTTAAATTCCTGACTTACAAAGAGCCTTTCTTTCCTTTATTATTATTATTATTATTTATACATTAAATCACTATATATCATTAGATTGTGAAAAGACTTCACCCAGCATGATATACACCTCAGCCTACCCCAGCTGAGACCACCATACACATCCTCGTCAACAGATAATAAATCTTATCTGTGTCCCACAAGTGTCTTACCTCTCCATTTCCCCCCAAATTTCCTATGCTCTTCCACTCTCATACTCTTTCTACTTTGTCTCTAGTGTCCATTACAATTTTTAATACTTTTATGTTCTCCAGTCTTTCAGTCTTTACCATAGAGTGCAGAGAGTTGGTATATGTTAAGTGGAGACATACAATGTCTCTCTTTCATAGCCTGACTTGCTTCCCTCAGCAACTTTTGGCCAAGATCAAGTGTAGTACAAAGAGCCTTTTTGGGAATGAAGCTATCTCAGGTACTTAGCATGGAGTATTGTGCCTCTGATTATTGACATTTAAATCTATTTTAAAAATGCAACATCACAGCTAATTGAGCAAAGGCATATTTTTATGTAACTCGAAAATGAAATCCAAGTAGTTCTTAAGTAGAGTCTGGCTATGCCAAGTAGTTCTTAAGTAGACTCCAATATAGGCATTATGCAGAATCTATGGAATTTGTGGAATACAATCCTTGACTTCAGTTGAGAAGATGAGAAAGATGCATAAAAACCTACAAGACTGAACGAACAAGTGGAAAAAGTGGCTTCCAGATGATATTTCAAGGAATGAAGGACAGAAGCCCGTGTTGCCATGTGTTTCTGCTGTAAATGATGAAGACCGCATGGCAATAATCATGTACTTGGCAGTTTTCTGCAATAATAGTAATAGACTATTTTTCTTTATACACAGCCATCTTTACATCAATGAGTATATACAAATATATACAAATATGTTTATTATAGTTTCTCAATTACAGACTTGTGACTTATTGACAGTAATCACTGCATGAACTTTTATGGGTAATTACAAATGATAACTATAAATTGTTTGGCTCTAGACTAGTCAAAAAACCTAATAATGAAAAAGTGCCGGGAACCAGCAGTTAGCGTAATGGCTATGTCGCTGGACTCCCACGTAGTCAACTGTGGTTTGCGTCCTGGACCTGGTGGCTTAAAACTCACGCCGGGTGTGTGTGCGTGCGTGCCCAAGATCCCGAGAGGAGAATGGAGGAGAAGGGATTGTGGTGTGAACATCCCCGCTGGGGGTGATTTATCGCTTTCTGTCTCTATGTCTCTCTCTGTCTGGTGAGCGCACGCGCCCTATAGTGAAAACCTCTCCAAAAAAAAAAGTGCCAATCAAATTATTTTTAAATGAAGTATTTTTTAGAGAAGAGGGACTAGATCTAGGAAACCAATGTGTGTGTGTATGTATATACATACATACATATACATACACATATACACATACACATTTTTATGCATGCATTGAAAAATGGACACTGCTTGACACTGAGTAACCTTAAATGTCAGCCCAACTGCATACACATGTAACAAATCCGTATTACCTAATAGCTACATTGTAGTTTTTCATTTCTAAGACAACAATGTAACAATTATCCTACTTACAGGAGGAGTTTACAGTCATTAGTGCAATGAGGCTAGATCAGAATTGTTTCTAGATCCCGCTTTGCCACGTAAGCAGTACAAAGTCAGCTGCCCAAGTCAGCACGTCAGCTACAGTGTCACTAACTATTATGGGATGTCACATGTGAGTCATAATAATTGGCAGAGAGTTGTATATAATAGCAATTTGATAAGTTCTGTTTAAGTATGGGTGTTGTCTCCAATAACAACACCAAGAGGTTTCATGGAGAGGAGTTGGGACTTACATTCTTTTTAAATAGGGTTAACATTATTGTGAACTCTTCTTTAGTAAAAAGAATAAACTTGAAGATAAGAAACAATGGTTGGGAACCAGCAGTTAGCGTAATGACTATGTCGCTGGACTTCCACGTAGTTGACTGCGGTTCACGTCCTGGACCCGGTGGCTTAAAACTCACACCAGACGCGTGTGCGTGTGTGCCCAAGATCCCAAGAGGAAAATGGGGGAGAAAGGATTGCGGCGTGGCCATCTCCCTTGGAGGATGATTTCTCGCTTTCTGTCTCTCTCTCTCTCTGTTTGGTGACTGCACACGCTCTATAGTGAAAACCTCTATTAAAAAAAAAAAAGAAAAAGAAAAAGAAAGAAGAGTTGATCGATGTGTTTCTTACTTAGTTTGTCATGGCTGCTGTCGTAAACAAAGCAAAACATGTAAAACATGACAGGATGACTGATATATCAGCCCTCCCTAATTGCATCACAGCCAAGTCATCAATATTTTAATATTTCTTGTAAGCTGCTGACTGTAAGAATATAATTTCATTTATTTTAATTAAACTCTAGTTTCTTCCTCTATAATCTGTGGTGACTCACAAGAAGAACTTGTATTGGTAAATCCAGGGAAGTCAGACTCTGGAGAGAGCAGATACTTTACAGAGGACTGGCCCTATAGTGTGGTGATCAAGCACAGGAGGCAGATTTCACACGGCAACCATAGCTCAGATCCCGGCCCTGGCAGCTTGAAAAACACACCAGATGCCAGTGCATGTGTGCCTTGTGCCCCAAATCCTGACAAGATGGAGAAATGGAGGGAAAAGATTGTGATGCGATCATATCCCATTCTGGGGTTCTCTCCCCATTTCTCTCTCTCTCTTTCTCTCAGGAGCCACATGTCCTCTGGCCAATAAAAAAACAACTATATAAAACAAACAAATTTCATTTACTAGCAAATATTATAAACTAACAAATATTATAACTAGCAAATATTAGAAAATACTTATATAAACAAAAGTCACGATCAGGAGAAATAAGAGGGAGGACTATGTTTACATATATTCACAGTCACTATGACTCAGGTTCAGATATAGTTTCAAGGTGTCTGGCCCACAGGTCAAAATGCTAGGGAGAGAGAGAAAGTGAGAGACAGACAGAGAGATGGAAAGTGAGAAAGCACTCCCAAGGGGGCATGGCCAAGCCACAATCCCTTCTTCACTTCTCCCTCAAGATTTTAGATATGCATGCACACATACCTGGCATGGTTTTCAGGCTGCTGGGTCCAGGACTTGAACTGAACAGTCGCCCAAATGGGATCTAGCTTTCTTAATCACCATACCACCAACTGGCCCAGAATTTTAATTGCTATAAAAGTTCATTTATCATGTTTCTGGGTTTTAGAGTTCAGTTTCTCAATTATAAATTTGTGATTTATTGACAGTAATCACTGCATGAACTTTTATGGGTAATTACAAACAATAGCTGTAAACTGCTTGGCTCTGAACTAGTCAAAAATCCTAATGAAATAGAAAAGGTGCCAATTGAATTGGTTTTCAATGAAGTGTTCTTTCAGTGAAGAACTAGATACATGAAACTAATGTTTCCGACAACAATAGATTTCAAAAGTAGGACAAAGAAGAATGAAGTTTATATGTGTTTATTACTTTTGAAAAATAAATGTCATACTTTTTTAGTGCTTTTCTGTTCTTCTGTTACATTTCTTGGAGGTTTAAGATTGCATTTTGATGAATGTTTGTAAGTTTCCAGCAGGGAGAGATTTTACATATGAAAATGTCCACTGTGAATTATAACTTCAAGAAAATAGGTAACTGTGTGTGACCACAGAGCCTTCGAATGGAATTAGAATTATGGTGGTTGGATTTACAGAGCACAAACATGTAGTATTTGCTTTTTCTTCCTTGAGATTTTTTATGATGTATCCTTGGACAGGACCACACTGGAGGATTATCTAGATTCAAAAGCACAGGGCATTTTGAGGCTGGTAATGATCAGAACTTGAAGTACTGTGATTAGATCATTCCATTTTACAGGAGGTGATGATGACAATGTCTGATATTTGTGGCTAATGAAATCTGTCACTGCGTTAAATGCAGCAGCTGAATTAAGAGAGCCAATGAAATGTTCTTCAAAGTAAATGGTGGTATAATAAAAACATAAAAATGATATGATCTTGCCCCGAAATAATGGGTGATGTGGGCTCCCTGGAGAAATCTTTCAAGCGTGGAGGACTCCAGGAAGCAGTGTGAGACGTGAGAGCTGATGCCAAGTGATGCGTTTTCCATTTCTCTTCTTGCCTCTCATGGTCTGTGCGTGAGTGTGGGTGGGTGAGTGGTGAGAGTTGAAGAATGGGAAAACAGCAGTAAGGACTGGCTGTATAGTCCAG